TAGTGAATACTAAGAGAACTATGCCAGTGATAAATTTACAACGGACCAACGCATCTTGTGAATTGAATCCAATAACTGCCATTGTACTACATACATATCCTGAAAATCCAAGGATAGATAAAGCAGTAAAAATCGTCATTGTACCTATTATATGAACTTGATATAAAATAGCGATAAAGGCATAGATTACAACGAGTATTCTCTGAGTATATCTATATGAGTCCTCAAAAACTGATATTCGTCGAGAAAATGACCACATCCATATTGGAGACCATAGAATGCAACCAGTTAATGCAATGTAATCTCTTCGTGAAGTGCCAGCATCGTAAATACGTGCATTGAAAATTATAAAAAAACAAATAGCATGGGCAAGAAACTCCCAGACATAGACCGGAACCCAAAATATGAAATCCAATATTAATGGGAAAATCCAATTTCTGAATAATATTGACAAAGAAATTACGAATAATGAGATAGACATAAACCAAATTATATTCGTAAAAGAAACAAATCCCGCCAAACGTTCATGATAGTTTTGTTGTCGTGGAGCGATTACATCATTTGGATATGGCAAATGATTCTGAAGTTGATTAGGAAGTTCATTAGGAGTGAAATGTTGCAATAGCGAATTAATAATTTCTGATGCAGTTAAATCTTTCTTGATATTATAATGTTTGCTTAGTCCAAATAATTGACGATATAGGTTTATTAAAAGCTCTTTGCGTTCTTGAGCAACTAACAGCTGCTGACTTGATTGAAGTCTTAATTCTTCCTGTACGAATGTCATCTGTTTCAACCTTTCAATAGTTCCAAGGACTTTTACATATTGGATAGGATCTTTTAGATTCCTCAAATGATCGAAAAATGTTTTTACAGATATTGGTTGGTGGTCTGCAGCATTGTCATCTTTACTTGAAAAAATACTATGAACACTCCCAATTAGTAAAAATATGCATATGAAAATACATATTGTAATTTGTTTTTTGTATAAAAAGTTCATTTTTTTCAATTTTATAAATTATCTTTTAAAGTAACATTAACAGAATAACAGTTGAAGAAATTTCGTTCGGCTAACATCTCATGATAACCCCCGTTCGGCTAACATATGATAATTTTTACGTAATGTGTGTTACCTTAACAAATCTTGTGATCTAAATAAACCGCCATAAAAAGAATCCCCGTAGTTCACACACAAAAAATTTTCCGGAACGTGATTTTAGCCAATTAGATCGAAGGATCAGGTGTAACGTGAAAATCACGCATTTTTGATTTTTTTTAAAAAAAATCACTAATAACTCTGTGTTCTAACAAAAAGATCCCTTGTGAAATTTTTATAAATTATGCCCTCTTTTGGCCTTAATCCTAACCTTAAATATGTAGTTTATTGATTTAAAATTTTTCGTAATTTGATTGTTTGATTTTTACTAATTTGCTAAAAATCACGTTCCGGAAAATTTTTTGTTGGTGAGCTATCAATAATCGTAAATTATCGTAAAAAAGTTACTGTCGCGTGAGGATCGATAGTGACTCATCCAATAGCGAGTCTCGCTTTAGTGTAACTCAACACGATCAGGAAAAGATTCGTTTTTTCAAAAATAGTTTATTTCTCAAAAATTTGCATAAGAAACCGCCTCTTGCGTTCTAACAAAAATTTCCTTAAGCAATTTTACTAGATACCCACTAACATCTAGCTCTATCAGAAATATTAACGCAAACAAATATTTCACATGACAGTAACTTTTTACAACGATGCTGGAGAAGATAAATGATAAACAAATTGACATAACTGATATGTACTGTACGTGCGTACATGTGTACAGTGTTGCTACTTTAGATCTGCAATATCTGATTTAATTTCTACTTCAAATGCCTAAAGTACTGAAGTAGAAACTTCATGCAATTGAGTCATTAGCTGCAGTTAGAGAGGGTGTACATATAAAAAATTCACAGTTTAGCCAATCAGCTTTCTTGTATATAACTAGTACAAGATCATGTGGCGGCTTCACCGCCAGCTAATAATTAGATATAGCAGTATATGATATTAACAGGCACTGACAATTTGATAATACATGATTAATTGAAATCAAAAAATATATATTAAGGTAGCATTCTATTTTTTTATTTTTTTTCGTAATTCCTGGCTTTGCTTGAGTTTTACATTTTTTATTTTTGGCCATGCTTTGCTCAGCTGGGTTTTAAACTCTACATTTTTTTTTACCATATTTCAACAATTATTAATTGCTAACTTAAAGATTTAATCAAGATTCACAATAATGTAGATGCAATTTAAACACAGATACTCGAACTTATATATACGTGAGGCTTTGCCATTCAATGTTTTTATTTGATTAACATTTAAACTTTATTAAAAATTCTCTTTCTATGATAAAATAGAACACATATACATAAAGCTAGTTTTGAAAATAACCAATGCAATATCTTTCGGCCTCAGTTTTACATTTATTATGATTTGCGGCATTGTTTTAAATTTTACTTATCGTTATAATTTAAGGTTAGAATTATTAATGAAAGAGTATAGGATATCAGCGATAACTTTAAGTTCACGTGACAATTAACAGGATCTAATCAAGCAGATTATGTAATTTCACAGACATCAATGCCCGTACAGATTCGATGACGTAATAGATTATAAGGTGATATCATAAGTCTTGTTCTCTACCACAATTCTCGCAAGTTACTAATATGAATGGCAATATCTAATTCCACAAACGTTCTAGAATCCGGGTCTTAATAAGTAGAATTGAAGTTACAAGTCAATTCAGTCCGTCGAATTGAGTCTTGAAAGGGTTTATTAAAGTTACAAGTCGAATTCAAAAGAAAATACACAAGAGAACATTCAGATAAGTATTATTTAATCGGAAATAGAACGAGAGATTAATTTATTTAATGATGGAAGGGAAAACTGATATCAATGATGGAAGGGAAAACTGATATCAATGATGGAATAGGAAGTTATGCTTTTATCGTTTGGTACAGTTGGTATTTAAATATTTTAGATTTTAGCTACTTCTACACAACCATGGCTACTTTTACGCACACACTTTTCAAGTTATTTCGTCACGATGATGTCAAGTATGTGGCTGTAACAAGCCGAAACAGTTACGTTTACACCACTACTGCTACGTTCACTTAGCCATGATGCTTTTCTAAGCTACTTCCATGTGATTATGCAGTAACTTATTACGTATAACAGATTGAAACGGCTATCAAATTCTAGAATAATTCTGCACGAGTTACAAAGAATTAATATTCACCTAATTTATAAGACTCACTACAGTTGTGCTACGCTTTATCTTGTTTATGGTTGAATTTGTCTCTATATCAAAAATTTTTTTTACCAAATTTGTTACATAAGATTAACTATTAACTTAATATAGTTTAATGGTTTGAGTTGAACGTGAACGATATTAAAATTTTAACATTTTGAGTAAAATAAATTTCATATATATATCGAGTAAATGAAACTATCAATGGTTTATCTTTGAGCGTAAATAATTTATTAAAATGCATGGTATCGATGACAATATTTTTTAAATAAAAATAATTTCTATTCGGTTAATACATTAACCTTTTAGGTTATCGTGCAAGATAACGATAAATTCTGTACTTGATCATGAAATAAAAATCATTTATAAATGTTATCCCAAATAAAACAACTGGTTAACTTCTCTGGCTCTTTAATCCAGTGTAGTTTATCTCAAGACAGTGTCATTATTCTTTTTGCAACCTGATCTAAATTAAAAATGGGTATTTCGAGTTTCATCGGTAAAGTAACCATAACCACTGTTGCAGGTTTTGCCTTGGGTCCTGCTGCTATTCCTGTTGGAACTGCAGTTTAGGGAGTAAGTAAAACAATCGAAAAAGTTTGTGATGATGAAGATGCCAAAGAAGTTTTTAAATTTGTCGGCGATACGCTTACTGGCGGAATAATTGGTGGGTAATTGGAGAAGTTTGTGGTGCAATTGGAAGTAAAGCAGAGGAAGAAACTGTTAAAACAGCAGTCAAAACTATAGATAAAGTCGTTGGCAAGATTGCTGGTGAGTGGGCTGCGAAAGGAATAGCTAAGGCGGTTCAAAAGAAGTTTATGCATTTGTTGCTAAAGAAGCGACTAAAATTATGTCACAAAATGCCGGTGAAGCTTTTACAACTATTGGAAGAGAATTAGGAAGAGTTAATATACACTATCTATGACTCTGGTTTGAAACCTGCACATGATTTACTAAAACACCATGAGCATTTAGAAAGAGGGGTAATCTATCAGAGAGGTTGTGAAGTTTGCGAAGATTAAAATTTAAAAAATTATACATGTCTAAATAACTAGAGAAATAATTACTGCCTTTTATGTTTTAAATTTATTATTAATTGCCTTCTTTAAATTTGTCATCAACGATTTATTAAAAGGAACTTCTCGGACATAGTTTAGGTCGTTTCC